CTATTTCAGATATCATGTAATAGCAGTGGGAAGAACAGATATAATAAACTCATACGGTTTATTTTTTGAATGGGTTTTTTCGCGAACGGTATCTATCCGCAACTGCCATGATTTGATTAGCCTCGATCCAGAAGAACACGAGTCACTTAGCTATGCAGAACAGGCTGAGAGTAATCCCGCCAATGCGATTAACAAGGCAAACACCGAAAAATAAAACACTGGATAAATCAATACTCACAAATTCCATAGCCAAATGGACCAGTTATCTGCGGTTCGGTGAGGGTGAGTCGGGCTTAGCTAAACGACTTACTCTGGCTGGAGTTGAAATATTACCACCACTACTCTCTTTTCACAGGTTGGATAGTACAATCCACTGTAGATTCAAATGTTTGATTCTTGGAGTTGATGCATAGTCTGCGGTCAGCATCGCCTATCGAATTGACCTCCGTGTTGCGGGTGCTGAAATCTATTGGAATTACGCTGCTATTCCGATGATCTATCCAAGGAGATAAAATTGGAGTAGCGTTCCTTTCAGTCTCATCGTTCACTTCTATGTCTGTGGGAAGCCAATGTGTCTAGTGTACACGAAACTTCTTACTCGGACGTTTTACTTAACTGTTCGATCTCGTTTTGTAATCTCTCTGGGATGTCAGCTGTTCAATCAGAGCAGTCCTTGAGCTGTCAGAATCATGACAACGTGTACCAACAAACAACTCACACTGAGATTTCTCTTCTGTTCTAACCGGGTTGCGCCTCGAGAGGAAACGTAATTAACCGTTTTAGTTTACGCTCACCCCGTGACTTAATCTGCACGCGTTTAGTTACGTCAGTAAATTATTCCACTTCACCATTCGATTGCGGGTGCTACATCGAATGGCCGAATGGCATTTGACACACCATCATCGATTGGATGGTTGAGACAGAGTTGGAGTGATAATAAAAACAGTTCCCCTATCGGGGAACTGTCATGGCAATGTTTGTGATAAGGAACAAAGAGCACTGGACAGCTGTTTCGTCCTGTTTGGGACTCGTCTGCAGTGCGTACTTTTTGTGTCCGTCAGAACTCGGACCGAGAACATTCGGGTCGGACCTTCAAACTCTTACCCCTAAGCTACATGGTCGACGGTCATCATCTTGTGCGAGTGGCTCAATCCAATGGGCTAATCCAAGTTCGCTACTTAAAAAATAAGAACTATCACAGCTTCAATTTGTATACACAATCGATGCCGAGTAGGTTTAAATGAGAAAGTATGGATGTGTCACAAGTGTCGTGCGAACGAAATGCACAAAATAAAAAAATCACAGTAGAGTCAATCAAAGTGTTTGTTCTCTACATGCCTCCGGGACAATATGAGCAGTTTTCTGACAGACTGATCAATCTAATGAATTCCAGTGGTTTCGGAAATGATGCTTACATCAGAAGCTGTGTCAGCTCACGATTTCACTGTCTCGATTGTTCAAGGGAATGCAATTGTACCTTCGATTGCGCGTGAAATCGAAAGCAAGCACGATAGAAATGAGGTTTAAGGCAACCGCGACGTCTGGTTGGTCGATGCCGCGCNTTTCAAGAAATGAACCTATTCTGATGCATGAGGCAGGACACCGATCTCATTATATAGTTATTCATATACCATCATTACCAAAAGCACCGAAATCTGATGTCATCTTTAAAAAGATGCTAATTGATTAATCTAGGAATGGCTTTAGGTTTTTGTGACAAAAATCAATTTTCGGACTAGTCGAGCATACGATACTAATGAATGACGATCAGTGGTTGAATCGTAAAACCACGTGATCAAGAAAGAATCAACTTTTCATTTGAATTCCATTGACTTATAGCTGTTCAACGAGCTCGAGCTACTATGCTCTATCATACCAACTCAATCGCCTACCTGCCCAATCCGAATTCGATGAATGAGACTCAATGGCGATGGTCCGGATTGCACCCAAGGCCAATTCAACCCCGAGAGATGCACGCCATGCCCTATGAGCGATGGATTCGACCAATCACTCCCGGGTTTGATCTCACGCCATTTCCGACCACAGCATTTGCTGCCGCAGCTCGCCTAGCTGCAGCGACAGCTTTTACAAACGCATCCCGCATCCCCGGTGTTTCCGGATCAAATCGTGATGGGGTACCCATCGTGGGATCGCACTATTTCTGTTCAACTCCACGCCCTGCACCGGAAACAACTAACACCTCCGGTCCATATCGCACTCAAGCGCCGAATTCTTTCCAGAGACCGTTAAGTGCATACCATCCACACAATCAATCACCATCCATTCAGACCTTCAACCACACGGGGAGGAGTGATGAGAAATTAGCGGAAGAACCAGGTTGTTATCAGCGGTGGCCTTCGTGGACTGCGGCGAATGTGGCCGGTTCACATACTGTTCACACGCACCGGTCAATGGTACCGGAGGTCGGCTGGAATCCCCATGATACCGCCAATCTCGATTACCGAAATAATAATATACAAACGAAGTCGGAACACCGTGAAACTCCTCCTCTCGTTCTCAATTCGCATGATCCGAATCCGTCAATCAGTGGGGCATCACTACGACCGGACTCATCCTGTGCCCCGATCGGTTCAGATGCACCACAAATCAGGAGGGATTGTTTTCAGCTGTCCAGACAATGGTTAATCGATACGTGTGAGCCCGGCTACGTTGTATCATCCAGCGATGCACGCAAAACGCGTTGCACAATCTGGGCATCCAGGCTGTTGGCCCAGACCACAGCCATAATCCACCGAGTACGTTTAGATCGGAATACATTCTGTCCGAGTCAGAGACAGTCCACAGACGAAGAAGATGATGACGAATCGGAGAATGAATTGCTCGATGAAGACGTGTGGCTTAATCGCATGCGTAATCCGACGGGGATAGCGGGAGTTGAAAATCGTCCAATAACTGGTTCCGGTGTCAACAGTATCCAACAACAGCCAGACACGACACAACTCACATCGGTGAACTTGACCGAGTCGGAACGTAATGACATTCTGACTCAAACGATGCCAAAACTCATCGGACTAGTCACAATTCAAGTGAGTTATATATTTTTTTCTACCCGGAAGTGTTTCTGATATATAAATGCGAGATAATTCAATTTTCATGTGAGTAATGGAGGATTTGCTTCGATTTCAAAAGTGAAATTCGTTGTGTATGTAGCAAATGAAGCGTGAACTGAAAAGCTAGGATCCCCAGTTGGGTCGATGGATTCGCACTGCTGACGAGACCCAACCAGGTCGAAACAGCTATCCATTGCTTCCTAGCTTTTCAGTTCACGCGTCATTTGCTGCATACACGACGAATTCCCCCCTATGAAATTGAATAAAATCCTACATTATTCACATGAAACAACTAGTCAGGTTGTGAATATTTCCACCCGAGTCATAACCCTGGAGGCTAGTGCTCAGATGAGCGAGGTATGTGGCCTGCAACAAGCTCGCAAAGATGGGTTGTGCTATATCATGTAAATGGGAAATGAAAAACGTTCTGATCAGCTGCCCGGTGGCCGAGTGGGTAGCATGCTTGTGTTCTGACTGTAAGGTCCCGGGTTCGATTCCCATTCCGATCGATGGATAATTCATTTTTATCAAATATCTAAACATCCGTGTTAACAGCGGGTCATTTCGATTTCCCTCTGTGAATGATTTAGTTTGAACTGTACCGAAATACATACATTTTACAATAATTTTTATATCTGAATGACGCAACGAAATTTCCCCATGGAAGCACACGACCGATTTCGAGGTTCTTGCCGTTCGCCAGTCATGCGTAGCCAGCAATCTTTAGACAATATATATATATATATATATGTATCTTAGGAATCATCATGACATTTTGTGATTACACTTACGTTGAATGCCCAGTGAGTTTCTGAGTGCTGTGGTACTTACTCACTTGTCAGACATAATGAGCAGCACAGGTTAGATGAGATTTTAACGGCTACTCCAATTGACTCCCTACATAGAGTGTGGCAGCTAGAACAAAGAGAGTGCGGTACGGGTTTGAAGGGAAATCATCTGACTAAAGGAAACATCTGTTTGCGTGCGGCTGTACACCTGTGATCAATCCAGTATCACACATGCACAAAGTACAGTGAGTTTGAAGGATCCGTACTGTTCTGTGGCATAACCAAATATTCCCATGGCTGTTCGGCAATCCGCTGGTGTTCTGTTCATACGCATACTTCGTTTGTTGACTAAAGTCCAAAAATCGCTCAAGGGATCAGGAGAGATTTGAGTTATAAGTACTGGCAAGATTCAACTCCCTTAATCAGAGGGGTTATTGCAGAATAATTCAATGATATAAAAATCGCAATTCGCGGTAGGATTCAAACCTGAGCCGCATCATGCTTGGTCAGTTCAGTTGCATGGTAACACCTACCACTCTGATCGGTTCATATTTGATTGCCTATAGACACACGGGTTAGCATGTAAACTGATGGCTACGGCAAATTTTCCACCGGAGTTCACCAGTTGAAGCCCAGGATATGGTAAATTGTTCAAATTTAATCGTTCAACAGATTTCCAGTTTTTCACATAATCCGCCAAGGGTCGTAATCTCTTCCAAGTTGTGCTACATGAAAAACTTTTGAAATCTCCCCTCCCCCCGCCCCNTTTAATCGTTCAACAGATTTCCAGTTTTTCACATAATCCGCCAAGGGTCGTAATCTCTTCCAAGTTGTGCTACATGAAAAACTTTTGAAATCTCCCCTCCCCCCGCCCAAAAAAAACGATGAAATTTGAACATGATAGATTCTAGGTCTTCTAGGTTTTATAGCTGAGACATTGTTCCGTAACTTTGCCATGGTTAAGTAAGAGTTAACTCCAGTCGTCGGTAAAAACACAGATTGATTGCACTAGCATGAGTGTAGATCCACAAACGAAATGGGGAACTCGTTAATACAGGGGTTGGACGAATTGTTGCGGACAGATAGTTTTCGAAAACCAAACGGACCAGATCGTTGCGTAGATTTCAGTCGAGTTTTGTTGGATATACAATCTACGAAATGGAGTTCGAACAATATCGACTAGTAGTGAAGATGAGATGTCGCCAGTGCACGGAGAAATAAATGGCTTAACATGGCATACGATTCGTTTGGGTTTTCGAGTTTGGATGGCATATATACATACCTATTTCCCGGTGATAGTGAGCCGATTATGGCATGTGATTGCACGGAGATGGAGCGTATGACTTTTGTAACTTTACTGCACATATGCTGTCTCCTGGACAAACAAACAGGTCCAGGTCGGTTAGCAACATATATTTGGAAATATTGTTCGCATAAAACGGTCAGAAACACAAATACAGACGCTTTGGAAACTGACCGAGGGATCACACTGATGGTGTTGAAGTTTGGCCCAAACGCGCTTCAGGAATCCAACTCATTTTAGTTCAGGCCAACCGCATGCTGGTAAACATCATATCTGTGCAAGCAAACTTGAAACGGCTCATGGACACAAGCGTCAGGGCTACAAAGAATAGGTTG